GGTCTGGGTGTCATGTGTATGAATGTGACATTGTATGTTTGTAAACGCACTCACAACACAGGAGAAAATACTAAAGTGGGCCAACGTTCTTTAAAAAAAAGAAAAAAAGAAAGAAAATTCCATCGAGCCGAGCCTCGCTTGGTAGGCGGTTTGAAGATCGTATTTTTAAAAGGTTTAAGTTTGTATGGGGGAGATAGAGAGAGAGAGAGAGGAAGAAAGAGAAAGAGGATTAGGACATTAGACATCCAGTAACGTCAAACATAACGCAAGGGTTGTTTCACGTCGGTTTTCTATGAGTCCGTGGTATCACTCTAGTTGAGCATGGCTATCCCATACATAAAATGCCAAAATATTATCTTAGTCTCCTGACGTAAGATTGACAAAAATTAAAGACAAGTCGAACTAAGGATCAGTTCACATCAAGACGCGACGCGACTCGCTAACTCCATCTTGTAAGAGGTCAGTAAAGCGTCCACCGTTAGACAAGAAAATTATAGAAATGTATACTTTGTCGTGTGCAGTATAAAGTTGTTTTTTGAATCGAACTTTCAAAGTGGTCGTGCGACGTCTCGTTGCGTCTCATATGAACTGTCCCTTAGAGAAAATTTTCAGGTATTCTACACTTTTAATTAATCAAGTAAGCATTCCATTCTCAAAGGAATACCATCGTAACGCACAATGTATTGGCAATAAATCACACAACTTTACAGTTTGCTAGACTCAAAGTTATGTTACTTACCTGCAGGTAAAAAGCAAACGTAGGTTGTATGTAATAGAATCAAATGTTAGTAATTTAATGCAGGTTTAATCTGTGAGCCTGGTATTGTCAAAAAAGAGAAAGAGAGAGAGAGAGAGAGAGAGAGAGAGAGAGAGAGGCAGAGAGAGAAAGTAAGAGAGACCTTCCTCGACATTTCGTCTATATTAACACACCCCATATGTAACTATATCTTGGAAGTCTAGTTGGGATGGCTTAAAATTACCCATTATCTACATTTAGTTCTCAGTTAGCCCCATATAATCGAGGTTCTCCGAAAAAAGTCCTGACATTATAATTATTGATATAATCATCTCTGTGTAATACAGAGACAAAATTGATCATATCACCAGGCAATCGGCAAAACGTCATCGCTTCATGGGGGATGTTCCACCCACACGCCCTAAGCGGTTCGCCTCCTCCACTTTCATAATCAGAACTGCTGCTAAGGAGTGGAATTCTTTGCCAGATTCTGTATCCCCAGAAGCTGATAACCTGCTAGGTGTCTTAAAGGCCCGAATGAAAAGGTTGCTTATGGGTAGACGTGCTCCATCGTAGATCGCATCATCACTTACCACCAGGTGTGATATGTGTAGGGGCCAAATATCAGTACATTACGAAATATATAAAAAAAAACTTCTAGTTTCAAAGTATGTTCCGTTTCTTCAATATGAGTAAAACAGTATAAAGCGGATCCTATAAATAAAACCCTCAAGTGAATGAATTTGAATGCAACATCGACAGATTGCATTTTATGATAGCTTTCTTTACCACTGAAAGATAGTAGCGTGCTGATGATGTAGCATCATCATCATCATCAGCCTATAAGTGCCTACTGCTGAGCAAAGGCCTCTTCTCACACGGAGAAGGTTTGAGCATTAATCACCACGCTTGCTCAATGCGGGTTGGCGATTTCAAACTTATAAGTCCAGGTTTCCTCACGATGTTTACCTTCACCGTATGAGGTGTCTAAATAATCATAGAAAGTACATATAACTCGGAAAAAGTCACATTGGTACTTGCCAGGTTTCGAATCGACCCTCATGATGATGATGATGAAGATGTAGGTACGCTGGTGATGAAAGTGGGGATCCACATCGTCAGCCCACGACAGTCGACCTCCATCTCCACGATCATCAGAAAAATTAGAGGTCGCTCTTTAAAATGATCAAGTACATTATGTACTTGATATTAGAGATCGCTACTGCCCATTTTCTTTTAAATATACTAGAAGACTCTCCCATGCTAAGCTTAAATACAAACTAATATTATAAATGCTAAAGTAAGTCTGTCTGTTTGTCTGTCTTTTCTTCACGCCTAAACAATCAACCGATTTCTGTGTAATTTGGTACAGACGTTGTTTGAAACTCGAGAAATGACATAGGATAGTTTTTGATACCAAAAATCTGCAGGAAGTCACTTTTCCAAGCGAACGAAGTCGCGGGCGAAAGCTAGTAATAAGTTAAATAAATTGAAAAAATGGCGAACGCACCACTTCAAGAAAATTGAATGAAGAACTTTATCAAGGTATTAGATCAGGTGTTACCTTGCATATAACGGTTTTTATAGCTTTCGTATTATATTTTCAAGTGTAGGAGGAAACAAAATATTTTGTGGTTAAACAAAGGACGTCATGTGTGCCGTACTAATGCAATAGGTATCTAAGAAAAACTCCTTTTTTTTGTTCCGTTTTGTTAGTAGGGCATGTAATTTTTTATGGGGTAAGGTGGTACTCAAGCCAGTGGATCATGTTGTAATATTGGTGTTGCAAGGACATTTGCAACTCCGGAGGTTCAAAATTCAAATTCATATTAAAAATATTGAAGTATTAGTATTATAATTATGGGCATAAGTGGTGATAGACTGCATGGTTGGCGCGGTGGAAGGCCAACTGGCTGCCGTGCAACGTCTCGCGTGTTCGATTCCCGCACGGAACAGTAGTATGTGATGTATATGTGAAAAAAATACGGAAAAAATATATGAGTGAGGAAAAGTCTTTAAAAAAATAGAGCCATCCCGTTCAGCAAGTAAACAACACCTGTGTTAAAAGGCTTTACTTCTATAAACAACACTTGTGTTAAGAGACTCTTCTTCTAGGGGGTAAGAGATTTAAAAAAGCTTTTATATCATTCTAATTTCAACCATTTAACTCTACATTCAAGGTTTCAAATAGGTTATTAGGTGTTCTAGCTAGTTAGAACTTTACGCAACGTCCCAGAGTCTAGATTTTCCAGCCAGTAATGCATTTATGAGGTGTGAAATAGCATGTATGCTATGCTATTTTATGAGGTACAAGCCTGAACGTTTTTACGAGTATTTAAACTTATATTTTGTTATTTTACAAGCTCACTTCAAAGATATATTTTAGACTGAGCGATGAACTTCTAAAGTTGCAAAGACTGCACCGACATATTGTGATATTTTTATGATATTTCAAAAGACATACCTACCAAGTACATAGATATGTGGATTGTTAATTTAGTAAATAAATGGTGTATGTAACATTGGCTTTTAATAAATACTTAAATAACTACATTAATGACGTCACGTCCGAGATGATAAGGACAGATATAAATCCTATTCTTATTCGAAATTCGAAAGTAAAAATAAAACAAATGACACGGCAGTGACGTCACAAAAATTATAACGTTCCATTTTGCTCATTGTTGAAAATTAAATAAAATGTAGCTAAGTTTCGAATAAGGATATGAGTATTTATGTTCATTTAAAATATCTTTCATAGCTTACCGCAGCAGGACCCAGCCCCAAGAATCCCAGCTGTAGTTGGTAGATTTCCTTTTTATTCTTCTGTTTAAATATAGCTGAGATCAAATATAATCTTACAAATCAATTTTAACCTGCCTCTTCAAACGCCTGGTATGATCACAGTACTTACACTAGAAATTTTAATCTTATACGACTGCACGGTTGGTGCCGTGGCTGGGCAACTGGCTGCCGTATAGCGTGTCGCGGGTTCGATCTCTGCACGGAAAACTCTTTGTGTGATCCACAAATTGTTGTTCCGGGTCCGGGTATCATGTGTATGTGAAATTGTATGTTTGTAACCGCACCCACGACACAGGTGAAAATCCTAGAGTCGGGCAACGTCTTTTTATAAAAGAAAAAAAATCCTTAATAACTAAAAACTTATCTCAAAAACATACTACATCCCTAACAGACTAGTGTTTCTTGAGAAAGTGTCATCCATCCAAACAACCAATAAGTGGGACATTAAAAACATAAAAAATAAGATATTCGACGAAGATAAAACTGTTTCAATAAAACCCGAATGCAGCTGTTGTCAATAAAATTGTCTGGTTGCAATACTGTTTGAAAAAAGGAATGAACAAAATAATTTATCGTTTGCATACATTACTGAAGACTTGGTTCAAGTTCTTACGAGCTATAGGTATCTCTTAACTGCCCATGAAATCACTTAGGTTGGATAATAATAATCACAATGAATGATTATTGTGTTAAAATATCTACTTACATATTTTGTATGTAAACGATCGGCAAACGAGCCAACGGATTACCTGATGGTAAGCAATCAGCGCCGCCCATGGACACTCGCAACGGAGTAGTTACGAGTGAGTTGCCGACCTTTTAGGGATTAGGGATTTGGAGATTTAGGGATTGAGGAGGGATTGGGGGAGGGGAAGGATTGGGCCTCCGGTAACCTCACTCACACGGCAAAACACAACGCTGTGGTTATTTCACGCCGGGTTTCTGTGACGCCGTGGTATCACTCCGGTCGAGCCGACCCATTCGTGCCAAAGCTTGGCTCTCCCACACTTAAAAACATTAACTTTTATATCAGACAAATATAAATTGATTGGCAAAAATGGGTACAATATAGGTGATGATGCATATTATAGGTATTTTAATGGTTTAGCCATATTTTGCCACGAAGGCATGCAATTTTTTATAATAATACTCTTAATTTTAATGAAAGATTTTTTTTTAAACATTGAAAGTAAAAACAACAAATAAATTAAATTTAAACAATGACATGTAGATACTGGTAGTTATTTAAGGCTTTCAAAATTATCATTATTAATCCTTATCAAAATACTCTATATAATATTATATGTAGGTATGTATGTATGTTAACGTCACAAAGGTCATTGTTCTGCGGTCCTTTGGTGTTGGCCCTGGAGTCAAGAGCATCGGAAATTATGTATAGTAAGTCTTTATCATTAGTAAGCTTCTATACGATCGTAATACTCCATTTTCTTACTTCCAGCCACCACGATGGTAACCAACACGACCCTACTCCTCATCTTCGTGACCTTGGCGTCGGTGACGGCTCAGACCTTCCAATACTCTCGCGGATGGACGAACGGCAAGAGGGACGGACACAAGCGGACTGAGGATCTCAGGGACATCGCCAATAACATTGACAAGATCTTCTCGCCCTGCCAAATCAACAAGCTCAAGTACATTCTGGAAGGAAAGCCCGTCACTGATAGGGTTAGTTTATACTTTAACATAAGTAATATAAGATTAAAAACCAAAGAAACTAAAAAGAATGACGGTTCGCTTAGTGGCTGGGCAACTGGCTGCTGGGCAACGTGTGGCGTGTTCAATTCTCGCACGGAACAAGACTTTGGTGATCCACAAATGTTTGTAAACGTTCACACGACACAGAAGAAAACAGTAACTAGTGTCGGGCAACGTTTTAGAAAATAACAATATATGGTTAACACAGTAACTTAACTGGTTAATGTGTTTTGCGTTAGACATTCATTTTATACGTGATATATAAGGACATACTATTGGAAATAACAGAGCTTATAGGTCACTTGACGGTAAACAGTACAACAAGTGCTACACCAGGTAAGGTCAAGGTTGCGCAATCAAGTCAAAGTATAAAGAAAGAAGGGAAATAGGTTATCTTCATACAAACGCTTGCCAATTTATAGGCACTGAATTAAAATTTTGCTAAAAGTGACAACCCTAAGGCAGTAGGCAATTGTATTGCGGTTTATATTGGGCCGGAGATAGCCTACTGTCCATCTCTTTATACTATGATCAAGTCAAGCACATTATTGTAATGTATATGATAGTTTTTAGTCAGTAAGAGTATAACACTACCTTCTTTTTAACGTTATCTTAATTACCTTTGACTATAAACTTTCGATCTATGTACTACAAAGAATTGACATTATCATTATGGTACTTAATCTAAAACGAATTTGATTCAATGTTTTTAAACAAGATGTTAACAATAATAAACTTTGTATTGTACACAGTTGCTGGTGCCATGCGACTTGTTGGACACCGAGGAGTCTCCAAGGAGGTACACAGAAAGAAATCTGGACGCACTTATGGAAGCCTTTCATTGAAAATCCCCTACACTCTTAATGTGCCAAACAGAAGAAGTATAATGACATTATTGATATTATTATTTCATAGTTATTAGTTAGGTAATACAAGGACCATTTTGATAGATTTTATTATTGTATAATGTTAATTAAATCTGTATAAGTATTTAATTATTTACACTTTCATAGTAATGCATTCATGGCTGGATTGTGCATTACTTAAATGTGAACACAGATTATATAAAATAATTTAATTCGTTCCATTCATTTCGTTCATTCTTTTAATTTCATATTGTATCTGTGGTTGGGGGAGATTTAAAAAATAATATCTAGGAACTAGATAAAAAATTAACAATTGTTTAGTCATTTCAAAAAATGTGGTTTTTGGCTTATTATTATGTAATATATTATGCTGTTTTAAGGTAAAATCCTACATACATACTACAATGTAAGAGTTTAACGATGTTAAAATGTTGACAACAATATTGTATTGTGTAACTTATATTGAAAATAAAGAGGTGAAAAAATAGCGTCTGTTACCTAATTTCTTGGATAATTTTTATTTAATAACAACAAAACGGTACGCAAAAACTATTCCCTGAAATTATAAGTAAATATAGTGATAGAAGTGGTACTTCTGCTAAATATAAAATTAATAATTATAACCTATATTTACTTATTAGGTAGGTACCTAAATAGTAATTAGGTATTAAGGTAATAGCGAGGAAGCATCGATTTTAATTGTAAATTATATTAAGTACATCAATATTATTGTTCTGTAAGATTAGGTAAGTATAAGTATTTGACTGTGATTTTTTAGTTTTTAGAACAATATTTTTTTGATAAATTTGAAAGTCGAGTGTACAGACAGCAGAGTGATTTAGTGAAGCTTCTGGCGACTGGAACAACTCTTAAATGAAAACTGAAATAAAAAAAATACAGTCAACTGAAATTGTTGCCAAGTAGCAGCGCGACAGTCGCCGCGTCGCGTGTCGCGGAATGCTGCTTATGAATATGGGCCTCTAGCATGGCTTGAAACTAGTCAAGTATCTCGTCAAACAATTACGCGAATACCTAAGCCGAAAACATAATAATTAACTTAGTATGTCTCACGAATGTTATAATAAAAAAGGGTACTTAGTCGTGGTGGCCCGGAGGTTAAGACGTCTGCTACTCATGATGCATGAGAGTGACGGTTCGAAACCTGGCAAATACCAATATGAATTTTGCTGAGTACAGCCAATGTACTCCTATGATTAGTCACCACTGATATACGGTGAGTGAAAATATCGTTTGGAAAGCTTAGCTTAGCTTTTTTTTATATTTTTTGGTGAGGTGAGGTGTTTAATGCTCATACCTTCTCCGTTTGAGAAGAGGCCGTTGCTTAGATGTTGATTACTTAGATGTTATTTAATTAAGTAAAAGATATAATTTAAAACTTAGAATAGGAACGATTTTAAGAAAAAAAATATTGACAGGTATTTACGTAGATACCTAAGTATTTATTTTCTTATCCACATATTACATATTGGTAAGTAGTAAATCAAAACTAACTTATTCAGAACTTGAGTTGGTTGAACATAGTTTTTATATTTGTAAACTGTGTTAATGAACCGTTTGAGAGAAATTATTCTTTAGTTTAGTTTACTTTCTGATTCATTTATGTTCATCCATTTGGACTCAAAGATAATGTAGGTATTGTTTCGGTACCATTTGAGTTTAATGGTAAAGTGAATTTTCATCGACTTTATTAACTGAATCTCTTCAAATATCCGTATGAATAAATAATACTTACAAGTAAGATAGACAGTCAGCTACTTCCCAAGAAATAATATTTTGCTGATTGTTTTTTCTTAATATGAAGTATCAAATATTTTAGTCACTATTTTAGAATCATTACAACAATATTATTTCCCGTACTCGAAAGTTTAAATACAGATAAGAATTTCTAAAAAGGCTAGTGGAATGCCATCTATGAAATTAAATATCAACTACGACTAGACGGTAATACTGCCATCTAGTGTCGAAAAGCGACACTTGAATAAAGAGTACTGTTCAAGTTCTTATAACAGTATGGCTACTCGACACAAGATGGCGGTAAAAGGTGTAGAAATAATTTCAGCATTTATAAATATGTAGGTACGTATGTACTACGCATTTTATTTTCAGGAATATTAATTTGGTGAAAATAATAGTGGTTTTTGAATTTTGCAACTATTGTGAATTAGTTATTTTTTTCTGTTGCTCAATTAGAAGATTTTTAATTAAGGTCTTAATGGTAACGGCATAAGGCTCAATATCGCGTAGCACATAAAAAGTTAATTCATGCTCCATCCATCATTAGTGAACAAGCATCATTAGAGTTTGAGGGCCACAAGTTATGTGTTGAAAGCATTTAAAAGTAAATTAACTTGAACTAACTCGCACTGTAATTGCACTTAGATATTTTTCTACCAAAAAGTAGATGTGAACATGGATTAAGATTTGGTTGGGGGTATAGAGTAAATCTATGCCGGCAATGATATTATAAGTAAATGGGCTACCTATTGAAAAAGACACAAATATGAAAAAAATGTGGCTAATAATTAGCCATATTTTAATGTATCACTTGCTGAGGGCTTGTATGTTATGGTATGGTAAGGTATGTAAAATACGAATATTTTTCTTTTTTAAAATCTTCATTTTTCGTAGGAATCTACACTTTACAACAAGCAAATGGCTTCTCTGGGAGATTGACCGACAGAAGCCCATCTAGACGCTTCAGAAGCCCATCCAGCCAGGCTTGCGAATTCAAGCACAATAATGCACGGGGCCCTTAGCTAGAGCAGGAGAAGGAACGGGTGGTTTTTAGTCAGTAAGAGTCTGACACTCCCTTCCTTCACAAAAAGATTGACAAATTTCCGACGTCAAAAAAAAACTTATACTTACGCAAGTAGGTAGCACCTTTGTCGAACCAAAGAACGTATGATAGGTCAAACTTAAAATCATGGCAGTTTCGTTTGCAACCATAACCAATGACCATAACTTTACACAAGACAGGGCTGTATCTAAGTGGCTCGGATTCCGGGGCTTTCAACCCGGACTTTTCAATAATTTTGAACCGATTATAAAAAAAGGAGTTATTAGGTTCTCAATTAGATCGTTTTCAGAGAAGCATTTTGTAAATATGAGTTGGTTTTGCTATATTAACCGACTTTAATAAAGGAAGGTTCTCATTTTCCCTCATGTGTATTTCAACACGTCTTCCAAAATAGTACAAATCTATGGAATTACATGGATGGCATCCCTACTTACACATGATTATCCTTTTTTTTATGTAAACGATCTGGAAACGAGCAGACGCATTACCTGATGGTAAGCAATCAGCGCCGCCCATGGACACTCGCAACGGAGGAGTTATGAGTGCGTTGCCGACCTTTTAGGGATTAGGGTTTCGGAGATTTAGGGATTGAGGAGGGATTGGGGGAGGGGAAGGATTGGGCCTCCGGTAACTTCACTCACACGGCGAAACACAACGCTGTATCCTTGTCTTATGTACATCCTTTAACAACATAAACTAGATGAAAAAAAAAACAACCAGGTATATATGTAAGTCTCAGAATAACTCCTATTAAAAACCTCCAATCATCAACAAAAACCTATTTAGTAAAAAAAAACTACTTAAAATGTAATTACTTGAGATCAAATTACGTAGTTACATTACAGTTTATGCGTGATTACAAGTAAATTGCTTGTATATATGCCTCAACGAGCGAATAATGATGGCTCAATGTGTAGCTGATGAAATTGGTCGTCTCGAAGACGTACGGTTGAGACGTTTAGCTCTATAGTGCTGGGAAGCGTGTCGATAGAATAATCTCGCTAGACAGATTTTTGAATTACGAACGACTTTTCTTCTTTTTATGTTCGCAAAAAGTATTTTTTTTATGTAATAATTTGGCAAACGAGCAGACGGATTACCTGATGGTAAGCAATCAGCGCCGCCGATGGACACGCGCAACGGAGGAGTTACGAGGGCGTTGCGCCCTTTTAGGGATTAGGGATTTGGAGATTTAGGGATTGAGGAGGGATTGGGGGAGAGGAAGGAAGTATAATAGTAATAGGAGCGCAATTTTAAGCTTGTTAGCATTATCTATCTTATCGGTACTTTTATCTGTTTGTCTAGCGGTGAGTGGGCTGTCCTGTTAGCCATATGAAATTAAAACGAATCCTATCTTACTATAATGTAATGTAATATTATAAATGTGAAATTTTGTGAGTACGTATGAATGTATGTTTGTTCATTCACGCAAAAACAGCTGGACCGATTTGGTTGAAATTTGACTAATGCCTTGGATCACGGCCCTGGATTAACACATTAGATGTTTTTTATCTACATACCACGCGGTCGAAGACACGGGCGCAAGCTAGTAGGTACAAAAATTACACGACTACAAAAACGAGATAAAATAAAATATTTTTTAAGGGAATCATTGCAATCAAACAATCATAATTGGATAAAAAAAGACACTCGTTCCTTGCTAAAAGTTAACCAACCAATGCGACATGAACTTTAAAGTGAATTATTTGATTAATTATTATGTGTATCTAAGAACTTATATTGTCCGTATGTAACATTTATTTAGTTAATACATGATTTATAAAAAATATGTTAATGTATTAATATAAACTGCTTTTCTTATGAGAAACTTTATATTTAACATACTAAAATAATGTGAATGCTCATAACATACTGAATCTCTATTCCGTTTTCCCACTCATTAAGACATACATAGGTATGTGTAAAAAAAACTACCTACTATTAAATAGTATAATTTCCATCCTCCTAATTTGTAACTCCAAACGCGAACCATTAAGAAACAATTAGGGAAATAACCAGCAACGTAATTAGAAATCGATATCGATACTTGGTCCGCCGCACTACCCTGTCGATTGTAAGAATGAGATGCCATAGACTTAAATCCGTTTCCCGCCATCGCACAATCTGTACCACGCACCGACCAATCGTGAGCGTGGAGGGCGTTGCGCGACCGCCAACCACCGCCGCTGATTGGTCGAAAATATTAAACGGGTTGCTCATAATAAAAAAGAAAAAAATGTATCGCAGCGTAAACCT